GATGATGGTAGCCTATATGAGGGTAGAGGCTGGGTGGAACGGGATAGATTTGGTATACATTCCAGAGACAGGGTCATAGGACTGGGAGAAGGGTTGGATGCACCATGCGAGGGTAGGATGACATTCAAGTTTCTTGCTAGGGTGCACCAAAGCCTGGAAGGAAATGCACCAAAATGTTAAAATTATCTATTAGTTGTGAAGTTATGGATGATTTTTCTTTTCTTCCTTATGTTCTTTATTTCCCAGTTTTCAATTAGTTATAAAAAGTTATAAAGGATGTATTACTTTCATAAGAAAAGGTTATGAATAACTATTTTCTTGTTCCTAACATCCATTCCTTAGGACTCAACTCTTCTAGGAAAACTATTATAACGCATGCCGGCAGAATAATGGGTTGGCCTTGTGCTATTCTCCCATGTAAAATATTTTGCTTTTTATTGGAGGTTTCTGATGGCAATTTGTAATCCCGAAGGACCGTGTGGTTTGGAAGCTAGAAAGCTGTATGAGAAAGTGGGAAAAGCCCAAGTTTTGCAAAAACAGGGACCTCTACTGCTTACCAGCTTAGTGGTTTGGGGAAAGTTACCCAACCTCTCTGGATAAATGATCCATCACACTTTCAGTGTCAAGTGTAATAACGTGTGTGAAAGCACTTGTCAAACACTCTACAGATGATAGTAGTTATGTGGCATTGCCTACAGGTAAAGTTCAAACTCCTTTCCTGGCACTTAGGTCCCTGAACAACCTTCCTGAAATTGACCCTCCAATTCTATCCTCTCATACTTCACTCTTGCGTTAAGTACTCTCTGTAACTACACTTCACTTTCTCCAACCTTTGTACATTTGATTCTTTGCAAAGACTGAGGTGGTGGTGCACATATTTTCAAGATGATACCTTATCGTTTAAGTGATCATATGTCTGGGTTTGCCTGTTGTCCTGGTATCTCATGCATTTTACACTTATCCTAAATAACCGTGCTCAGCTTTAGGAACTTCAGATCTATCTGGTCTGCTAAATCCCAGTGGACTTTGGATTCCATCCCATGGGACTCAGACTTTGGACAAATGATCTCTCCCTGAACTTCAGTTTACTCATCTGTAAATTGGAAATAATAATACGCACTTTGTGGTGATTAGAAATTATATTCATAAGGCGGCTGGCACTTAGTAGGTGCTCAAGAAATCAGGACCATTATTCCAGAGGTGCTGTAGTCATTAGTCTGGTGATTCTGTATTTTCCAAAACAAGCGAAAATACATCATTGTCATCAATATGACCAGCTTTTTGGCGAAGGAGGAATATAGATTTATATTTAAAATAATGTTATACAAATTTTTATACAAGGTACAATTTTCTGTGCCCAGTCTATTAATTCTTTCACAAATTCACTAGATTTAACCCAAGTAAAGGCCAACTATTCAATCAAGACAAGAAGTCCCCCAAATATTTAGCACACATTGAATAAGTTATCTAAGAGAAAACTTCATCCTTTCACCCATTACTCCTCTCAACACATTTTGTAGTTCAAACTAGGTGTTTAGATGTGATGGATAAAACTCGGTGAGGCTAGGGGGAAGGAAAGGTGGAGCGTTAACAATCAGAGGAAAATCTCTCCGTCAACCGTCATCCCTTCCCAACATAGGATGACATACAATTTAAATTAACGTGCCCCTGGGAAGCACCGATTAAAAAAGAACCACGCATTGTGTAAATAAATACAAAATGCTTCTTTAAAGTTATATTAAAATTAGTTTTCACCCTTTCAAACACCTAGACTCTGAGCTGGGTCTCAAAACCTTCGGAAGCTACGTCCTCCCTCGGGATAAGGAAGTGCCAACAGTAGCAGCTGCAAGCGCTTCAAAGGGCTGAGCTGAGATAAGGGATGCCTGCCCCTGCACAAGTCAGTCAGCAAGGGAGACCAAGGAGCAGGAGGCGCTGATTGACGCTTAGCAGTGGGGAAGGTCCAGGGCTGGACTTCTGGGGCAACAAGACATTTTTCAGTCGGCCTTTGGGGGAAGCAAACATTTCTTTGCCCTTTTCTAAGACCAGGGAAGCAAAATTCCATTGTTCCTAAAATTCTGGCAAGAAGTGGTATCCTGCCTTGCGGGGACGTTCGGCCAGGAAGCAGGTCCACAAATAAGACAGAACTGCACAGGCACACGCCATGTGAGGAAAATCCCAAAGAACCAGTCAGCGTAGACATGATCTTGCTTGCATAAGCAGCAATGTTCCTTCCGAGTCCCTTTCCTAGGTCCTTTCCCAGATTCCCTTCCCAGAGATGATTTAGCTTTATCTCTTGGCAAAATAATTCCTTTCTCTATGTCTGCTTGGGCAGCCCTGTGAAAATAAGTCAAATTAAACTATTGATATGGCCACATTAAGCTTATTCTCATCTTTTCTGAGAGCTATAGGTTGTCTTGCCCATAATCTACTGGGGTAATTTCAAGAAATTATTCCACTTTTAATTTCTTTTTCTACTTTCTGATATCTCCCTTTGACATTTAAGAAAATAATTTATTTACAAACAGGAATGGTTTGCAGATGGTTTTTTTCCCAGGAGAGAAATTTCCAGAATAGGCTGTAAATTAAGATAATCAGATGCACTGTTTCCCAGAGATGAATCTCAGGATTTTAGATGATTGGGAGACTTTATACAGAGCTTTTAAGACCCTCCAAACTATGTCTTCATCTCACCTCTATTTTTAGAGTTGGAAGGGTGAAGACACTTGTCTATAAAAAATGAAATGGGATCCTTGAGAATTAGATATCAGTGGGTCTCCAGGAGAGCACATTCTGTAGCAGAAACACTAGCACGCCAGTCACATATTCAGGTAATGAGTCCGAGAGTGTTTGGCTACAATTCAAGGGAGCATATCGCTGGCCTGGAGCCAGAATCATGAGCTGCAGAAACCATTTGCACTTTGGAGTGCCTGGAAAGTGCCACTGGATTTTGAAGCATGCACATACAGGTAACCTCTGTAGGGCTCATGTACTTTCTACTTGAAGTCCAGAACCACATGTTCTTTCTTTTCCTACTCTGTGAATTTAGGCATATTCCCATTTCTATGCTTCATTTTTTAACAGAAGAATTGGCACAACACCTATATTCCTACACTGCACTGCAAGAGAGGTGTTTGCATAGATTTTATTAATTTACGAGCTGAAAAACCATATAAACTGTTTATAGTTCCTTGGGTGAGACATGAAGTCAAGAAGTGACATTTTACGTGCATCAGAGGCCTGAGGAGTGAGTTCTTTGGTTTTGATATTTCTTTGTTCTACCATGTCATGAAGGATCGAAGGGGCAGGATGTTTAAAGAGCACAGGCTTTGGAGACAAAAACAGCTCTACTGCTTACCAACTGCGTGCTCTCTGGTAAGTAACGTCTTTGTGCTCACCTGTTCATTGGGGATGATAACATGGAATCTCCTTAGGTTGTTGTGAGGATCGGCTTTTAACAATACCTGGCCTGTGGTGGGCAGTCAGTAAACATTAGGTTCCTTCCTTTACCCCAAGTTTCGACTCGACAGCTCTGGAAGATGTTATTCCAGCGTATTTGTTAACATAAATAAAAACCAAATGATCTTTGAACACCAGAAATGCACAGGAGCACAAACATAATCCTCATCATGTGCTCAGTACTGTCAGGCACACTGAGGAATATTTTAAAACTATTTTAAGATATATAAATAACACAACTCAAGCAAAAGACAACTCAATTATCCTGAATGTATAAAGAACTACAACTCAACAACAAAAAGAAAAACAACCCGATTAAAAAATGGGCAAAAGATCTAAATAGACATTTCTCCGAAGAAGACGGCCACTAAGCACATGGAAAGATGCTCAACTTCACTGGCCATCAGGGAAATGCAAACCCAAATCACAATGAGATACCACTTCACATCCACTAAGATGGCGTTAACTAAAGAAACAGGTAATGAGTATTGGAAAGGATGTGGATAAATTGGTGCCCTCATACACTGCTGTTGGGAATGTAACATGGTGCAGCTGCTTTGGAAAACAGCATGGCATTCCCTCAAAAAGTTAAATAAGAGTTACCATATGGCTCAGCAATCCCATTCCCAGGTATTTACTCAAGAGAAATGAACACATGTCCACACAAAAACTTGTACGTGAATCTTCATAGCAGCGTTATTCATAACAGCCAAAAGTGGAAACAACCCAAATGCCCATCAACTGATGAATGGATAAACAAAATGTGGTATACCATTATAAATGAATACCATTTAGCAATAAAAAGGCATGAAGTACTGATACATACTACAACATGGATGAACCTTATACTAAGTGAAAACATTATAAGTGAAAGAAAGATCACATGTTGTGTAATTCCATTTATATAAAATGTCCAGAATACATTAATCTATAAAGACAGAAAGTAGATTAGTAGTGGTTGCCTAGTGAAGGGTCGAGGAGGGTTCTTGGGGAGTGTATTAGTTTCCTAGGGCTGCCATAACAAAGAACCACAAATTGGGTGGCTTAAAACAGAAACTTATCATCTCACAGTTCTGGAAGTCAGAAGTCCGAAATCAGTGTTGTCAGGGCTATGCTCTCTCCGAAGGACCTGGGGAAGAATCCTTCCTTACCTCATCTAGCTTCTGGTTGTCTGCAATCCTTGTCTTTCCTTGGTTTGTAGAAGCATCATTCCAATTCTGTCTCAGTCTTCACATGGCCTTTTCCCCCATGTGTCTGTGTCTCTTCATCCAAGTTTCCCTCTTCTTATAAGGTCACCAGTCATATTGGATTTAGGGCCCACCCTAATCCAGTATGACCTCATCTTAACTTGATTACATCTGCAAAGACCCTGTTTCCATATTAGGTCACTTTCACAGGTTCTGGGGGTCAGGAGTTGAACATATCTCTGGGGGACACAATTCAACCCACAACATGGAGAAATGGGGAGTGACTGCTAATGGGTACAGTGTTTCTTTTTGAGATGATGAAGATGTCCTAAAATTGATTGTGATGATCGTTGCCCAACTGTACAAATATACTAAAACTCACTGAATTGGACACTTTAAATAGGTGAATTGTATGGTATGTGAGTTATATCTCAATAAAGCTGTGTTCCTATGAAACAAGTGAACAAGTCACTATAGAATGAAATGTCAAGTCATGCAACATGATGATAGATACTGTAGATGCTTAGAAAAGGAGATGAATGAGAGCAGCATAATTCCCAGAAAATGTCATAGATGAGGTGTGATTCAAATAGAACCTTGAAATATGAATGGGATTTAAAATTACTTCTCTGGGGATTTAGAATGGCTCAAAATTCCCTCCCTACCTGGTGCTCTTTTGTCTCCAGGCATTTACAGGGCGTATCCCCTCTGCCCTGAACGCTCAGTCCGCCCACCCTCTCTCGCTTGCTCCTTGGGGCGACCTCTAACTTTGGAGCTGGGTCCCAGTGGGAGGCCGGTTGTGGGGGGGGGGGTGCGGTCCTTCTGAGGCCCTTGCGGAGACCCTGCCGCTCTTCCCCGCCCAGGGTCCTGAAATTGCCTGGATCGCAGTGTGGGATGGACGTCCCTGGGTCTCCCCTTTCTGCACCCCCCCAGGGCGGGGGGAGGGGGGACTTTGCTAAAACAGAGTCTTCGAGTGAATGGCTGATCCTTGGGAGACGGTTTGCTGGTCTTTTACATGCTCCACTGGGAAGAATCAGAGACCAAAATCCTCCCTCTGCAACCGGCAGTGAGAAGCAGTCAGGCCCCATCTCTTGCGAGGAGTCAGGACTCCTGGAGGGACGAGTGGGAAGAAAGCGTTTGGTGGGGAGAGAAGAGGAGAGGAGAAGAAAAGGAGGAAGCCCAGGGACCCGCGTGGTTGTGGTTTTTAGAGGACCCTCGGTTAGCTCCTGTGTGGACTAAAGAGATTCATTTCCCTGAGGAGAGTGAAGAATCGTTCTTGCATCATTTTCTGGACTCCATGTGGCTAATAGATGATTTTCTTTCTGGCAATGGCCTGTACCTGCGGCCTGGCCAGATGCCGTGGGTGCAACTGAGAGGTTTCGCCTGTTTACCTGTCTACATTTCCCGCTAGACCATAAGCAACTGAGGGCAGGAACTCAGTCTTGCCCCTTACGGTGTCTCCCCGAGAAACAGCAGCTCCCGGAGCATAGTGGCTCTCAATAAATAGCTTATTGAACAAATACGTTATTCAGGTTTTTCCTACCTCTTAGGCACTGATTTTTTTTGTTTTACTTAATACACTCAATACTGTCTTAATTTCTGAAGAAAAAGTAATAGGTACTTATTGTAGAACACTGTGAACATAAATCTTGATAGAGAACAAGTTTCATACATTTTTCATACATTGTACAAAGGTCAAGTAAAAATTGAAATAATACCTTAATAGTTATTTTAAATAATGCTGTTAACATTACCTGAAGGCCATCGTCATCATATTATAGAGGAGATTTTCTAATATCATTTTATACCATTTGTCTAAATGCTGTATTCTTCGAAGAAAAATATGGGGTATTTTAAAACAAATAACATATAGGGGCCAGAAGCGTGGCATAGTGGTTAAGTGCGTGCGCTCCGCTGCTGGCAGCCTGCGTTCGGAACCCCGGGCGCGCACCGAGGCACCATTTGTCAGGACATGCTGTGGCGGCGTCCCACATAAAGTGGAGGAAGATGGGCACAGATGTTAGCTCAGGGCCAGTCTTCCTCAGCAAAAAGAGGAGGATTGGCATGGATGTTAGCTCAGGGCTGATCTTCCTCACAAAATAAATAAATAAATAAATAACATAAAATAAAACAAATAACATATAAGAATGGGCCAGTGACTCTCAAACTTAACTGAGCATTAGGATACCTGGGATGTTTGTGTAAAATGAAAATTCCTGAGTTCCGTTTCTAGAGATTCTGATTAATATGCCTGCTGAGGGGCCCAGGAATCAGCATTTTTAAGAAACACCTACAGTGATTCTGATGCAAGTGGTTCCCAGACCACATTTTGAGAAACATTGCAATAGAATCCCACAACTGAAAATCAGGATCAAAGAGTAGAAAGCATATAAAAATGGTAACTGAAAGGCTCAATACAGTGTCTCTAATATAGGTTAAATTTATTTTGAGGTTTTTGGCAACTCTTTCAAAAAAGGAGAGAGATGATCATTTACATGGCTCTCACTACTGGAAAAGTGGAAGTGTGCTATTTCTTAGGAGAAAAGTGTTTTCCTAACACTAGATACTAGAAAAGATTTTTTATATGTGGTCATTACAGAAGAGGTGCCCAGGTTTACTCATAGGGTGCTGGCAAGGCTGGGCCCAGAAAAGAATATTTGCTGAGTGGGAGGTTGTTACCAGTGGCTCCGTTCTCAGGAATGCAGCAGCAGGAGCAATGATAAAGCCAAACGCAGATAAGTTCTGTTCAACAAATATTTATTTGCCATTGACTATGTGCCAGCTACTCTACTAAAAGCTATGAAACAGAGAGTAAGATAGAGCCCTCCTAGAGCCCTGCTCCTGAGAGGCTGATGGCCATGTGACGCAGAAGCTGGCTGGAGAAGCCAGAGATCGTGAGTGGAGCAGGCAGCTCACTGACAAATGGGCAGAGTTCAAGTCTAGGAAGTGGGCCATAGACTTGGGAGAGTCGCCTGACACGTGAGCAGGAAATGCCGAGCGGGTTGGACGGAGGCAGGAAACTGCGCCTTTCAGTAGGATGAGTTTTCAAGTAAGTCTTAGCTCAGCTCACAGATTTAGGGGCCTGGCCTGACAGGAGCCCCACCAGGTCAGAGAGCGCACCCTAAGTGATGATGTCCAATGTGAGTGGTCTTCCACATGAGTTAGGTTCTGGATTAGGGTATAAGAAAAATTATATTTAACCAAAATTATTCTTGCAAAATTCCTTATAAGGTCCACAAAATAAAGTGTACATATATATAACATATGTAGAACTATGCAGTATGTAATAAATAGAACATATGCAAAGTGTAATTTTCACTTATTTTAAATTATATCATTTAAATAATTTCCTTCCTCCTACCCACTTTCCAAGCATACATGGTTGCTTCACATAAGTTAGAAATCATGTATAGTGAGATGCCACTGACATGGATAATGTCCTCAATAGGATTTTTCTTTTTCTTGCAACAAATACAAAAAGTAAATTTCATATAAGTGGTACTTACAACCCTCTTCAATAAAACCTGAATGTTAAACATCAAAGTATAACTCAGTCAAGATGATTCTAGTATGAAGCACTGAGTTAATGGTGTCTACAATATCATGTTCAGTGGGCTGACTTGAATTAAGGTAGAATTTAGAGAGCCTAGAATTACTGGATACTTCATCCCTATGACGTTTCCAGAATACTGCCCCTCTTTGTAAGAGTTGGGTGGCAAATAGTTTAATCATTTGCTACCTGGTAAGGGCTGCAGTGCTGGTCTTTTCTATTTCTGATTGAGGTCAGTTCCTTTAGGAAAACAAAAGAGGAGATTATAGAGATGATGCTCAAATATGAAAGTTGTGGAGCCTAACCAATGTTTTTGCCAGAGTAGAAGGCTATCCCACATTTCCAAAGAGGGTGGCCACACAAATATAGATTTTTCTCAGGAAAAGCTCTGGGCCCACCTCAGTCCTTAAATACATGTTACTCTGAGACGCTGAGATCCTCCCCGTAAAGCATGGCAGAAATAGTTTTGGTCTGAAAAATTTTCAGAGCAAAAGCTACCGGTTGCCCACTATGGACATAGAAAACCTTCAGGAGTGGATTGTCTGATGGTAAGCAGCATGGCGTATCTCATATGGCCGGTAGAATAAGTTAGTCATGAAATGTATTAGGGTTCTGACCCCAGTCTGTCTCCAACTTGCTTTCATTTCATGGCTGGGTTTTGGCCTCATGTCCACACTCTCCCTGACGCCTGAACCTCGGCCGCCCTTGTGTTAGGGTCCTGCCTTTTCAGTGTTGACAGCTCACAGTGACCTCACTTTGCTCAACAGCAGAGATAGGCTAGCTCCTTTAAAGCTAATCATCTATGAATGGAATTCCAGGACAGCATTGTCCCAGAGAGCCTGAATTACAGAATGTAAGTCTCAGAGATGCTTTACGCCATCATAGAACAATTCTGTTACTTTCATACTTCTTAATACAAATTTTCCCTGTGCAACATTATCTTACCCTGATAATAAAGAGTAGCTGTTAATTGTGATTTGGCTTATATAAGAGGTTTACTTAATTATTTACATTTGAGGTGATTATGCTCTTAATTTGTTTTCATGCTTGCGTGTTTTTACCAAGTTTGACATATACATACAGGTTGGCTGCGTTTGAAGTCAATCTGCTGGGCCAACTTAATGGTTTGAATTTCTCTGGCACCTGCTTTGAGGTACCCTTGGGTCTTTACTGACAAGGTCCCTGGGGCAGGCTTAAGGTAGAGTCTTTCTTGGCATATAATCTAATTAATGCATGAGACCAGTCCATCACAAAGAGGTAAGTCTGGTTAGAGGTGACGTGGGTGGTTCTAAAGCTAAAAGCATTTTTCCAAGATGTAATTACTTGTTTCAAAGGCTTCGTAAATAGGGCATGGCTCCAGTCTTCCTACAAAATAGTGAGCCCACAGTGTCCATGGACTGATCTTTGATAAGCTTGGAGATGCCAAACTGAACTGGGTTCACTACAGAGCAGATAGAGCTCCTGACACTGCTTGCAAGTGGCACAGGAGCCTCAGAGGTGGGAGTTGCCTGTAGACCCACCTGCATTGCATCTGAAAGGGGAAATGTGGACATGAATTCAACACTTAGGCGCCCTTTCTTTACCATATCTACCACTAGGTCCTCTGCACATTAGTTCATTAAGCCTGATGACATATGTAAGATTTGATACCTCTGATAGATCAGGAAACTAAGGCTCAAGAACACTGGTAACTTGCCTAAAGTCGTTTATCTAGTAGGTGGCAGAGCCAGAATACAGATCTGGAACTGTCTTCACAGTACCACATCGGCCTGTCATCCTGGGAATATTGAGAAAATTTATAGCTACCTTAGTAATTCTTATAAGGAACTAATATATGAAAAAAAAAATTATGTTTTTGTGTGTGTAGATAGATAGATGCTTAATTTACAAATGTTTTCTATAGGTTTTACTTATACAAAAGTGCCTTTGCTAGGCACGTGAAGGAGTTTGGGACCTGACTTCTACCATTCCTTGCTCTTTCCCTCTAGGGCTTTCACAAATAGAAAGGCTAGATGTAAGAATCACCAGTCAAATGAGGATCACAGCATAACATTTATATTAATTAATGGTTTTAATATAATAAATGGTATTATGTTAATAAATGGCTGAGCAGGGTTTCCAGAAAACCGTGTTGGAGAATGAGGCTTATAACTGATGCCTGTCAGGGTCTTCTGCTCCCTCTTGAGATGTAGACTTTCTGGGGCCCACTCAGCCCTCTTACAGAGCAGCCACAGAGAACCTCAAGCTGGCCTCACCCTCCCCACTGCCTGAAGGGGAAGGAAGGAGGGAAGAAGGAGAACTTTACACACTGGGGACAGGAAGTGAAAGGGAGGTCACAGGCTGGACAGCAGGTCCAAGAGAGCCACAGGCTGGGCCACCTGTGACCTGAGACACATGATCCCATCTTCTAGCAAGGCACGGCCCAGGGAATGCCAGCCCCTCACCCACTGTATCAGCCACCCCCTCCCCGGCACAGGAAGGACAGCAGGTGTCCTCACTCCATGCTCCCCCTCTCAGGGCAGGGAACAGCAAATCCTGTCCTCACTGGAAACATGAACAGGGATGATAAATGTTCTTGAGCATTTGAGCTATGCCATAAGCATGACTGAGAACCAGAAATAAACAAGGGGCTTTGAGCCAAGATGAGGTCATAGTGACAACCTCATTGTCCAAGCAAACTTCATGCTCAGAGGATTTCGGGGTCTTTTGAGTGCCTGCTCAGAAGCAGGTGGCATCATGTTCTCTCAACACAAAGGTTTTCTTAGTATTTGTTTGGTATAAATCTATATTCAGCTTGCTCTTACATTTTCTTATTTTTTGCAGTGAAATATAGTCCTTTATTGGAACGTATTGTCCTATTTTGTGTAAAATGATTCCAAATACATTATTTTACTGCTTAGTTTACACTAACTTGCAGAGTTTTCAAGTGGCTGTGTCAACACAGCAAACACTGAAGTTGCAGCTACTACCAAATACAGTAGCTAAAGGAATATTTTTGGTTTTGCATTTTATTTTTGTAGTAATACAGTTTTTTACAGTAATTGAAAATTTACATCCTCCCTGTTACCAATTTGTAGTTTATAGTTTTATTTATTTATTTTTTTATTTCCCCCCCCAAAGCCCCAGTGGAGATAGTTGCATGTCACAGCTGCACATCCTTTTAGTTGCTGTATGTGGGACGCGGCCTCAGCATGGCCGGAGAAGTGGTGCGTCGGTGCGCGCCCGGGATCCAAACCGGGACCGCCAGCAGCAGAGCGCTCGTACTCAACCACTAAGCCACGGGGCCCGCCCCCATTACCAATTTGATGCTTGAGCTTACTTTTCCAATAATACAAAGTATGGCTGTCACTCATTAATTACATTAGCTAACACTTATATGGCGCTCACCATGTGCCAGGCACTGCTCTCTATTCTTAATTCATTTAATCCTGCCCACAATCCTTTAAGGTACTCGCTGTTATTAGCTTCACTTTACAGAGTGGCAAGTAAAAAAAAAAGAGAGGCAAGTAAAAATTTTGAAACCTATTGTGCTTTTATACCAAGAGATGGGGATATAGTCTACATTACATACAAACACACACATACACACTGCTTTTCCTCACTAGCCAAAAGTGTGTGTGTACATAAAAAAAATATATGTAATATATATAATATATATAATAGACTTTATTTCCCATATGCCCCTGTCCCACACATGCATAGCCTCCCCCGTTATCAGCATCCCCCACCAGAGTGGTACATTTGTTACAATTGGTGAATCTACATTAACACATCATTATCACCCAGAGGTCTGGTTTACATTAGGGTTTACTCTTGGTATTGTACACTCTAGGGGTTTGGACAAATTTATAATGACATGTATCCACCATTATAGTATCATACAGAGTAGCTTGACTACCCTCAAAATCCTCTATGCTCTGCCTATTCATCCTTCCCTCGCCCTAACTCTTGTCAACCACTGACCTTTTTACTGTCTCCATAGTTTTGCCGTTTTCAGAATGTCAAATAGTTGGAGTCATACAGTATGCAGCCTTTTTAGATTGGCTTCTTTCACTTAGTAAAATGCATTTAAGGTTCTTCCATGTCTTTTCATGGCTTGATGGGTCATTTCTTTTTTAGTGCTGAGTAATATTCCATTGTCTGGATGTACCACAGTTTATTTATCCATTCACCTACTGAAGGACATTTTGGTTGCTTCCAAGTTTTGGCAATTATGAAAAAAGCTGCTATAAACTACATGAGCATGTTTTTGTGTAGACATAAGCTTTTGGTACCTTTGGGTAAATACCAAGGAGCAAGCTAGATCATGTGGTAAGAGCATGTTTAGTTTTTTAAGAAACAACCAAACTGTCTTCCAAAGTGGCTATACCATTTTGCATTCTCACCAGCAATTAATGAGACTTCCTGTTGCTCCACATCCTTGACAACATCTGATGTTGTCAGTGTTCTGGCTTTTGGCTATTCTAATAGGTGTGTGGTGGTAAATCATTGTTGTTTTGATTTGCATTTTCATGATGACACATGATGTGGAGCATCTTTTTATATGCTTATTTGCCATCTGTATATTTTCTTTGGTGAGGTATGTGCTAAGGTCTTTGGCCTGTTTTTCAATTGGGTTGTTTGTTTCCTATTGTTGAGTTTTAAGAGTTCTTTGTATATTTTGCATAACAAACCTTTATCCGATATGTCTTTTGCAAATATTTTCTGCTAGTCTGTAGCTTATCTGTCATTCTCTTGACATTGTCTTTCATAGAACAGAAATGTTTACTTTAATGAAGTTCATCTTCTCAAGTTTTTCTTTCACGATTGTGCCCTTGGTGTTGTATCAAAAAGTCATCACCAAACCCAAGGCCATTTGAATTTTCTGCTATGTTATCTTCTAAGAATTTTATAGTTTTGCATTGTAAATTTAGGTTTGTGATCCATTTTCAGTTAATTTTTGTGAAAAGTGTAAAGTTTGTTTCTAGATAAATTTTTTTGCCTGTGGATGTCCAGTAGTTCTAGCACCGTTTGTTTAAAAGACTACCTTTGTGCCATTGTAATGCCTTTGCTCTGTTGTCAAAAATCAGTTGACTATATTTAGGAAGGTCTATTTCTGGGCTCTCTATCCTTTTCCATTGATCTATTTGTATATTCTTCCACCAATACCTCAATGTCTTAATTCCTATAGTTTTATAGTAAGTCTTAAAATTGGATAGTGTCAGTCCTCTGACTTTTTTTCCTTCATATTGTATTGGCTGTTCTGAGTCTTTTGCCTCTCCACATAAATTTTAGAATCAGTTTGTCAATATCCACAAAATAAATTGCTAGGATTTTGATTGGGATTGCATTGATTCTGTAGATCAAGTTGGGAATAACTGACGTCTTGACAATATTGTCTTCCTATCCATGAAGATGGGAATGTCTCTTTATTTGTTTAGTTCTTGATTTCTTTCATCAGAGCTTGGAAGTTTTCTGCATATAGATTTTGGACATATTTTGTTAGATTTATATCTAAGTATTCCATTTTGGGGGGTGCTAATGTAAATAGTATTGTGCTTTTAATTTCAATTCCACTTGTTCATTGCTGGTATATAGGAAAGCAATTTACTTTTAACCTTGTATCCTGCAACCCTGCTACAGTCATTGATTAGTTCCAGGAGTTTTCTTGTCAATTCTATTAGATTTTCTACATAGATAATCATGTCATCTGTGAACAAAGACAGTTTTCTTTCTTCTTTCTCAATCTATATACCTTTACTTCCTTTTCTTGTCTTATTGCATTAGCTAGGACTTCCAGTATGATGTTGAAAAGAAGTGATGAGAGGGGACATTCTTGCCTTGTACATGATCTTAACAGGAATGCTTCAAGTTTCTCACCATTAAGTATGATGTTAGCTGTGGGGTTTTTGTAGATCTTATTTATCAAGTTGAGGAAGTTCCCCTCTATTCATAGTTTACTGAGAGTTGTGTCATAAATGGTTGTTGGATTTTGTCAAATACTTTTTCTGCATCTATTGATACAACTGCATGATTTTTCTTCTTTAGCCTATTGGTGTGATGGATTACATTAATTTCAAATGTTGAACCACTCTTGCATACTTGGGATAAATCCCACTTGGTCATGGTATATAATTCTTTTCATATCTTGTTAGATTCAATGTGCTATTTTGTTGAGGAATTTGCACGTATGTTCATGAGAGATTTTGGTTTGTAGTTTTCTTTTCTTTTAATGTCTTTGCATGGTTTTGGTATTAGGGTAATGCTGGCCTCATAATATGAGTTAGAAAGTATTCCCTCTGCTTCTATCCTCTGAAGGACGTTGTAGAGAATTGATAAAATTTCTTCCTTAAATGTTTAGTATAATTCACCAGTGAGACCATCTGGGCCTGGTGCTTTCTGTTTTGGAAGGTTATTAATTATTGAATCAATTTCTTTAATAGACATAGCCCTATTCAGATTGTCTACTTCTTCTTGTATGAGTTTTAGTAAATTGTGTCTTTCAAGGAATTGGTCCATTTCCTCTAGATTATCAAATTTGTGGGCATAGAGTTGTTTATAATATTCCTTCATAATCCTTTTAATGTTCATGGGATCTGTAGAAATGTCCCTCTTTCATTTCTGATATTAGTAATTTGTATAGTGTCTCTTTTTTTCTTAATTAGCCTGGCTAGAGTCTTATCAATTTTAGTGATCTAAAGAACCAGCTTTTGATTTCATTGATTTTTCTCTATAAATTTCCTGTTTTCCTAACTGCTTTAATTAATTAATTTTATTTATTCAATAATTTATTCCAGTTATTGTTTTCCTATCTGCTTTAATACTTATTATTTCTTTTCTTCTGCTTACTTTGGATTTAGTTTGTTTTATTTTTCTAGTTTTCTTAGCTGGAAGTATAGATGATAGATTTTATTTTTTATTTTTTTTCTATTTTTATTTTTATTTATTTATTTTTATTTTTATTTTTTTTGTGAGGGAGATCAGCCCTGAGCTAACATCTGTGTTAATCCTCCTCCTTTTGCTGAGGAGGACCGGCTCTGAGCTAACATCTATTGCCAATCCTCCTCCTTTTTTTTTCTTCCCCAAAGCCCCAGTAGATAGTTGCATGTCATAGTTGCACATCTTTCTAGTTGCTGTATGTGGGACGCAGCCTCAGCATGGCTGGAGAAGCGGTGCATCAGTGCCTGCCCAGATCCGAACCCGGGCCGCCAGTAGTGGAGCACATGCACTTAACTGCTAAGCCACTGGGCCCACCTGATGATTGATTTTAGATATTTCTTGTTTTCTAATGTACGCATTCAATATTATAAATTTCCCTCTAAGCACTGCTTTTGCTGAATCCCACAAAGTTTGATAAATTGTATTTTCATTTAGTTCAAAATATTTTTAAATTTCTCTTAAGATTTCTTCTTTGATCCATGTGTTATTTAGAAGTTTGTTGTTTAATCTTCAAGTATTTTGGGATTTTCCAGATATCTTTCTGTTGTTGATTTCTAGTTTGTTTCTATTGTGGTCTGAGAGTAGACATTGTATGATTTCTATTCTTCTAAATTTGTGAAGGTGTGTTTTATGGTTGAAAACATGGTCTATCTTGGTGAATGTTCCAGAGGAGCTTGACAATAATGTGTATTCTGCTGTTGTTGGATGAAATAGTCTATAGAGGTCCATTATATCTGGTTGATTGATGTGATTGTTCAGTTCAGCTATGTCCTTACTGATTTTCTGCCTGCTGGATCTGTCTATTTCTGATAGAAATGAAGTCGCCAACTATAATAGTAGATTCACATATTTCTCCTTTCAGTTCTATCAGTTTTTTGCCTCACATATTGTGAAACTCTGTTGTTAGGCACGTACACATTAAGGATTATTATGTGTCATAGAGAATTGACCCCTTTACCATTATGTAATGCCCTTCTTTATCTCTGATAACTTTCCTTAGTTTGAAGTCCACTTGGTCTGAAATTAATATAGCCATTCCTGCTTTCTTTTATTTAGTATTTACATAGTATATCTTTCTTCATCCATTTACTTTTAATCTATATGTGTCTGTATATTTGAAGTGGGATTCTTGTAGACAATGTATAGTTGGGTCTTGTTTTTTGATCCACTTTGACAATCTCTGTCTTTTAATTGGTGCATTTAGATCACTGACATTCAAAGTGATTATTGACATAGTTGGATTAATATCTACCATATTTTTTACTGTTTTCTATTTATGCCCTTATTCTTTGTTCCTATTTTTGTCTTCTACTCTTTTCTTGTGGTTTAAACTGAGCATTTTATGTGATCCCATTTTCTCTCCTTTCTCAGCATATCAGTTACACTTCTTTTTTTTTACTTTTTACTTTTCTAATGGTTGCCCTAGAGTGTGCAATATTTACAACTAATCCAAGTCCACTTTCAAAAACATTATGCTGCTTCACAGGTAGTGTGAGTAATTTATATAGCCAATAATCCTAATTTCTCCCTCCTGTCCCTTGCCTTATTGCTGTCATTCATTTCACTTATACAAAAGCATACATAGCATTTTATTTTTTTTATTATTTTTTTATTTTTTATTTTTTTGTGAGAAAGATCAGCCCTGAGCTAACATCCATGCCAATCCTCCTCTTTTTGCTGAGGAAGACCGACTCTGAGCTAACATCTATTGCCAATCCTCCTCCTCTTTTTCCCCCAAAGCCCCAGTAGATAGTTGTATGTCATAGTTGCACATCCGTCTAGTTGCTGTATGTGGGATGCAGCCTCAGCATGGCCGGAGAAGCGGTGCATCGGTGCACAGCCAGGATCTGAACCCAGGCCGCCAGTAGCGGAGTGCGTGCACTTAACCACTAAGCTACGGAGCTGGCCCCAAGCATTTTAAATATACATACGTATTGAAGAGGAGGAAGACTATCCTCTACCCACTCTGGGTCCTTTCTGGCTGGAGTATGAATTAAATTGACATGAGACCAAATAGCAGGAGAAAATCAAACAAAGCTTTATAACATGTATACATGGAAGAGAGCCAGGAAAGACTGGGTAACTTGACAAAATGGTGGAGGTTCTCATCTTAAATACTATCTTCAGCTAAAGACAAAGGAGGATATTGGGGGTGGAGGGAGTCAGTTATGGGAGATTACCAGAAAAGTACAGTAAACAAGAATAAGGTTATTATGCAGATTTAAGGCCTCACCTTCTACATTGATAAGTTTCTAGAGATGAGGTCATCTCCCCTTCTTCCCAGTACAGAGAGGGAGACACCTTTACAATTGGGGATTTCCCTTAAAAACATAAATGTTTGGTAAACAGAATTTTGATAAGAATGGGCTTAGCAAGGACCCTCCCAGTCTACCCTACCCAGAGTTACCTATGGTGATGACCTGTCCTGGGGACAGGCCTTCTATCTTAAATTCTTCTAGGCAGTTAGTAGGGTGGGGGGAGGAGGTCAAAGTTTCTTTCAGAGTCTTCTGAGCCTTTATTGTCTTCAGCTTGAAATAATCCACGCACCACAGTGGCACATCTTGGGGTGGTCTGCCCTGAACCTCATCAGTAGATACATACATAATCCATTATTGTTGCTATTATTACTTTGAACCTCCCAAACTGAGTAGCCTGAAAATGTTATGCCTAGGTATAGTTTTTTGGCATTTATCTTACTTTGTGTTCTCTGAGCTTCATGGATCTGTAGTTAAGTATCCAACATTAATTTAGGGGACATTCTCAATCATTATTGTTCAAACATTTCTTCTGTTCCTTTCTCTCTTCCCCAGGTCAGTTAGCCTCTGATAAAACCCATGACATTAGGCTCTGGTTAAATAGTTTCACCTGAGGGCAGACCTTGTTAGGAAGAACAGAGTGCTAGGCTGCATTTTAAAATGGTTCCTTTCTCCTACCCCTGCCAGAAACAGAGGGGATTTTGTCTGATCTTTTGTGAGAACCTGGTAGAGCTCCAGAAGTTAAAACTCACAAAATTGTGCCCCACACCCCTTGTCCAAACTCAGTCTCCAGCAATTTGTCAATTACAATTCAAGCTTTCCTCTCCCAGTTGCTGGTTTCCGTGGATGTTTCAGCTGTGGATTTTGCTCCAGTAAGTTATAATTCTCTGTATTCACCTGTCTGTCTCTCCAATCTTGGAGGCAGTGGTTTGCCCTGTTCCCTCACTTCTCTCACAGATCTAAGGAGAGTTGTTGATTTTTCCATTTGTTCACCTTTTTCCTTGTTGTTAGAATGGAGTGGCAACTTCCAAGCTCCTTACATCCAGACCAGAACCAAAAATATGTTTTTTAGTTTGGTTTTCTTCTTCTTCTTTTTTTTTTTTTTTGCTGGGAAAGAGTCCCTCTGAGCTAACATCTGTTGCCAATTTTCCTTTTTTTTTTCCTCCCCAAAGCCCCAGTACATAGCTGCAG